CTTCTGGACCTGGAAACTGAAGACTGATACTGCCCTGGGGCCGCTGTCCCTGGGGTAGCTGCCTGGGTAGCTGGAGAGCTTTCACTTCTGCTGACTCAGGAGAAATTCATCCTTCTCAGATCTGATGGTGTTTGACGACTTGGGTACTGATAGCTTTGCCAGCTTAAGAGCTCTCCCCTCACCACCCCCAAGGCTACAACCACCGAGGTAGCTCATTAGTTAAGTTTCTTGTTAAAACACAGACAGGCTTCACAAACAGGCTTCAGGCTGTAAATGCGGTTTTGGTAAACTGAGAGCACCGACTACAAACAGTCCAGCCACACATGACAAAACGCTGCTCAGGTGTTGCAGAAAGCATGGCGCTGGTGACGGTGGAACAATCCAGGGCTGCTCGTTCTTGCTGACTCCTCCCCTCTGAAACAGGTTAGCACCAAGGGTAGTACCGAAGCCTGCATGCGTGTCCAAGTGTTCCTCCTCCCTCGCTCCTCAGCCTCCTTCCCTCCTTCTCTTTTGCTCAGTAAATTGCCTCTGGCTGTCATTGAAGGTGTGTTTCATTGGGCCAAAACCAGGCCCTAGGAAAAATGCCCATGCCTTCTAACCCCAAGCCACAGCCTTTGCTATGACACCAAGGCGTAAATCTGTCCCAGCTGTTTTACAGTCACCTGAGCATTCCTGGGAATGAGTTCCGCTACTGTATTACAGAATCTGGCCTGGTAGAAACTAACAGTCTCTACAGCCCCCACTTTGACCCCACCCATCTCTGAGCCTGTATCTTACAGGTCCACTCCTCCTGTCAGGCATGTGCCAAGGCCAACCCACAGGGGTCCTCCACACCTCCAGGGAAACAGCAGATGTGATGGCTCAGGTCATCATATCTGGAACACACCATCCCTCGATTTGGCGTGTCACAGACCATCCAAACAGACAATGGCCCAGCCTTCACTTCCAGGGTCACCAAGCTCATGTCTGAAGCCCTCAGCATCTCCCGGAAACCCCATGCCACACCCGCCCCCAGCTCCTGGGACATCAGTGTTGGCTCCTGGTTTCCCAGTGAAGGGCATATCTGCTCCCGTGTCTTGCTTATTCGTCCTTGTCTCTTCTGTACAGCAGGGCTCGTCTCCACTCCATTCTCACTGGCAATCTCCACTCTTCCCATGGCCAGCCCTGTTCACAGGGCTGGTGATCATAACCTGTTTCTTCTCCTAACAGCCTGACTTCTCTGCTTCCTCAAAGAACAAATTCCTGAAGTCTCCAGGATGGCAGCTAACCAGATACTTGTCCACCTATACTTCCCACCAATCCCCAATCCCCCTCCCCATGTCATCCCATGACAAAAGGAAGTAGCCAGATGTGAACTGGCCCCCACATATCCAAGAACTTTGAGGTGTTTGACTGGGAACTCTGCCTCAGCCCCACTCCTCCGTCTCCAGGCCCCACCCTCTCAAAAAGCCCACCAAGTGGCAGCTCCTCTCCCAGAGCGGGTCAAGGCCATTCATTCCTACAGGGTATTTAACCCCCCCCCTCGAGACCCACCATAAGATTTCTCTCCTGCTTCCTTTCCCAAGACTCACCCAGGAGTTGATTTGCTCAGATTAAGCCTGGTCTTTTAATTTGGCCTGATCTGGCTTGCTATACCAGCAGAGAAACCTAAGGTCAGGGTACAAAAACACCTGTCAGATCTGCCTCCCAAATATAAACCACTTAAGGAAATCAAGTATGGATGGCTTATGTCTAGGTGGATGTGTAATTACCGAACACACTCTGACTTAACACACTCACACCAGCGCTACCACCAGCACCACCTCTACTTGGTAAAGGAAATGCACAACTCAAAAAGTTCTCAACTGTGGTCCTTGGCCGGTAGCCTTCCCACACTTGACACTCATTACAAATGGAGGTTCAAAAGGTCTTACCTCAGACCTAGTGAGTGAGGGACCCAAAGCAGACCTGAGCATCTGGGGTCCAGGAAACCCTGGGCAATTCCCATGCCGCCAGGCACTGAGCAGGTCTCTGGGCTCAGGACGGGTTCTGCCCTGGTTCCCTCCACCTGTCCATCACAGCCACTGCCACCCCTGGGCAATAGCAGTGGGGTTTTTAACTCCCCAGTAAGCAATAACGATAACAATGAGTAATTTCCGGAGTGTGATCAAAGCTGTGCCCCAGAATCAGACTTTCTCCAAGCTGTGAGGGGAGCACAGTCTGGAAAGGGAACAAACTCCAGACTGATCGGGCCACTTTCGCAGTGGTGTTTCGGGCTAAGGCTGCCCACGTTGGAAGCTGAGCAACAGAGGACCTGTCTATGATTCATTGCACAGCATGCATGTTTTGAACAACAAACGCTCCCTGTGTTCTTATCACAAGCAAACAACATTCACACACTGCACTTAAGGCTGGGCGGCTGGCAGCAAACATCAAGTCTACGCCTGGCCAACATAATGTCAGAGAAAAATCCCAAAAGCCAGCTCGTGCAGAGCCCTTGGCTGGAACACCACAGGGAGGGGGAGTTTTAAAATGTGGTCATGGGGCCTGCTGTGGGAACTGTGCTGTGTGTCATGGGAATGGTTTACAAGAGCAGAAGGGAGAAGGAGGCAAGCTTGAAGGTACAGGCAGTGGGGCAAAAAACATCAGAGCCTTTTGTGTAGGAGCTCTTGAATTTAGTTTTCACTGGCCACAGAAGGCTAGGGATTCAGGGAGAGTGGGGAGGCATTATGGCACCATCCAGAACACAGGGGCCCTTCTATCAATCTTGGCAGCTTGGGGGCAAACAGCTAATTACCATCATTGCCTCTGCTAGTTCCATTTCTGTCTACTTTTCTATTTTATGAAAGAAGCTAAGCCTGCCTTACTGAAACCTGGGTGCTGTTTCTCTGAGCAAAAGAGTCATAATAATAAGAACATGAACTAGAGATGTAGTTCAGCCGGCCAAGCACTCACCTAGCATACACAAAGCCCTGGGGTCCCTCCAGGGTCATGTAAGTAAGGCATGACGGATGACGCACACCTGTAATTCCCGCACTCAGGACGCTAAGGCAGAATGGCTGCTACAAGCACGAGCCCAGCCCAGATGACCTAGCAAATTCCAGGCCAGCTGGGACTACCCTGTCTTAGACAGAGAAAAAGACAGAGACAGAGACAGAGACAGAGACAGAATAATACAATACCAGATCCAGAGTAAGTATCTCTAATTCATGTAAAAAAGCAGGCTAGCCATTCCCAGTCACTGTTGAAAATACGCAAAGGCTCAACCACTCTGGGAAGCAATTAGGCAGCATCTTTAAAACTCACACACGCCAAACATCCTAACAACTCCACACCTGACATATTTGTTTCAAAATCTACACACACACACACACACACACACACACACACACTAGGCCTGTTCATATAGTTCACAGCAACATTTTTTTCTAGTAGCCCCAAACTGGAACTAGTCCAGTGTTCAGCAGAAGGGTGAGTGATGGTAGCACACACTAGGAACAAAAAGGACCAGGCTCTCACACAGCAGCAGCATGGAGCGCTCAGGGGACCAGACTAAAGGAACCAGACCAAGAGCTGACACCCTGTAGGGTTCCATTTACATGTCATTCAAAAGGGAAGACTGGGAATGAAGCAAGGCAAATGTAAAGGCCAAAAGATCATGGTTGTCTGAGGCCTCAAACCCAGAACCCTCCTGCCTCCACTGCTGGCACACCAGGGGCATGAGGACCACCACATCTGTGCAAAGCTCTCTGTCCTGAATGTGGTAGCAGCTCTAAAGATGTTTCCATTTGCCAACACCACATACTTAATACTGGTGTGTTTTGTGTGAAGATGAGTCACAGCGAGATCACTCAAGTTACTGAAGCAGTATACCCAGAGTGCAACAGGGCTCCCAGGCTGGTCTCGCTCCCATTCTGCCACGCCCATGTAAGAGCTGAAACATGTGCTTCCCATGCCACTGCTGACTGCACCCTGGTCTCTTATGAAGAATTGTGTCTATAGCTGGTGCACTTTGCTCTCCCAGGACACGCCATTAATCCTAGCACTCAGGACCAGAGGCAGGAGAATCTCTGAATTTGAGGCCAGCCTGGTCTATAGAGAGAGTTCCAAAACAGTCAGGGCTACACAGAGAAACCCTGCCTCAAAAACCAGAACAAATAAACAAAGTAATAAATTTACAAAGGAATCTCGGAGAGAGTCTTCGAAGGCAGTGCTAGGTAACAGACAGCCCAGAACATGGGCGAGCTTCACCCCATCTGTCCCCAGAAACCTGCCCGTCAGATGTAAAGAGAAGCCTTCCCGCCAGCCTGGTTCCAGAGCCGCATCAGTCCCAAATAAACACACAGGAGGCTGTATTAATTATGAAGCTGTTGGCCTTGCTTGTTTCTTACTGGCTAGCTCTGACTTAAGTATTTAACCCATAACTTCCAATCTAAGTATTTCTCTTACAGGAGAAAAGGGTCTGGGCTTCTTACCCCTATGGTGGTTACATGGTGACTCCCTGTGTTTCTCCTACCCAGAGTCCTCCTGGACTTCTAGTCCCACCTATCTTGCTTTCCTATTGGCCAACAGTGCTTTATTGACATATACACAGGACTTCCCCATCATTCAGAAGTGCACCTTATACCAACAGGTCCTACCTAGAGGGCAAGCTGGCACTTCCCAGAGTCCTGAGGCCTGTATCCTTCACCTGGTGGTTCCTGAGGAAATCACCAGACATGCACACGAAGACTTACACACAACAGTGCTTACCACAACATTTTTATATCACGGATCCAAAATAACTTAAAAGTCCAATAAAGGGGACTGCTATGTAGATCGTAGTTCAATGAGTGATCAAATCACACCAAGCCATTAAATCATACTTTCGGGGTACACAGAGGACACGGTGTACACTTCACTCTGCATTGTCAAGTTGGCAAAGAGCAGGATTCAAAATTATATATGGCTGAGCCTTCATTTCTCAAATATTGTCTACTAAGTGCCAGGCTCTGCCTACAGAAAACAGGCCTTGTACTCACCGGCAGTCAGTGTGGTGAACTCTAGGAAGCGGTATTCATAGGCCACATCTATCTTTGTCTCCACCTGAGGTCTCTTGAGAGTTGAGTAAATGTTCCCAGGGCGCTTCTCTTCATGCTTCTCCAGCTTGTTCAAACTGCAACCCATTTCGACAGCTGACCACAAAAGGGAAGCAAACGGGGAGAAGGAGATGTTTTATCAATAATTTTGAAATACAACAGCATAAAAGACCCCCAATTTTCTGGAGGAATACATCAAAGGCCTCAGTGCCCAGGAAATCACACGTGTGATTTAATATAGCTCTGAACACAGGAGACCAGGACACCTCTCTTCCTGTGATGAAGCCATTACCAGCCATCCTGGGAGATCTGGGTGACCCAAATGTCCCTGTCTTGCATCTTGTCCCCTCTCCCTGAGGAAAATAATACCTCCCAGCAGCTCCCTCCATTGTCATCTGTACACATGATGAAAAGAATAGGGCCTGAAAAGCCATAGTGTGCATTATGTTGTCAGCCCGTCGACAGAAATACAAGGCACGTGTCACCTTCCACACGGTTGCTAGGGGAGAATAATAAGTTGTTGTTATAGTCTCTAAACGATGGCATCCTTTCTCTCCTCAACAGTAATTATTTAGACAGGAATTGATATTCAAACATCTCAAAATGTAGACATCGGTGTTTTTATGGCCTTGTCTTACAGTTCCCTTCTCTTCTTTTCCAGACCAAACAGTGGGAAATAAACCGTAGGCTCCCCCACCTCCAGTCACTTCAGGCTAAAATGAAAAGTGATGGTGTGTAGCAGGGCCAGCGAGACGTCAAGGAGCATCCGCACATGTTGGGAAATTGGAGGCCTCAGTTTGCAGAGGAAGTGAAGAAACGGGAAGACAATGAACAGAGTGGGATGCCCTCATTCCCTGACAGGTAGGGTTTCCATTTATTTGGGCAGAATGACATTCACACAACGACTTTTTGTGGAAAGGTATGTTCCTTTTACACTCCGGGAACTAACTGCCCCCCCTCCCCCCATCTCTGGGACACTGACTTGCCCCAGAAAAATGTCCCTAAAATACGAACTGGCCAAGAGTATCTCACACACACACACACACACACACACACACACACACACACACACACACACACACACACAGGGACTGCTTTCTCCAAAGACAAGGATTTCCTTCAATAATCCATTCACAGGTTTCTGAGCTTCCTATAGCAATTAGGCAAGTTCCAGAAAAACAAACGGAACTTCAAAAGAAGCAATGAGGGAATGGGGAGGGAGAATGGACAGAGGCGAGCCATGACAGCCCCTGTTTTGTAGAGAATGGACAGAGGGGAGCGGGAGGCACGGCCATGACAGCCCCTGCTTTGTAGAAATGAAAAAGGAAGTCAGAGAGGATGGGCAGGAGCCGGAAGGCTGACTTACGCCTTAATAAGGGAACGTTAGTGTCCAAGAACCAGAGAACACATGAACTGTGTGCACCCTGCGTGAAACTTGGAAACTACTCATTCTGCACACGCAACAGCTGGTGCGCGCGGAGGCTGCTGGAGGAACTGCGGGAAGCTAGTTCCTGCTGTGTGCGGGGTGTGGGGGGGGCCAGGGGGGCACAGAGAGCAAAGGAGGGAGGCTCCTGAGTGCTGGGACCAGTGTGCCCTGAAGACGTGGAATCTGGGGGTACAGAACGGGAGGCTCCTGAGTGCTGGGACCAGTGTGCCCTGGAGAGGTGGAATCTGGGAGCACAGAACAGGGCTACAGAGAGGCAGAGGAGCACAGCGGCCTCCATTGCTGCCCATTTCCAAGAGTCAAGCCTGGTTGGAAAGGAAGGACTGCGGAATCAGAGCCCGAGGCTGGGGGAGCTCGGAGAAGCTGCACGGATTTGGGCACCAGAGCTGACAGAGATCCTGCCAGGGTAAAGGGATGAGGTGGAGGAGGAGAGGCAGGCTGTGGACTCCCCTGGACCTAACAGGTCAGAAGGTCAGGGGTCACCACTTGCCTAAAGTACCTTTGTGAGATGCACAAGACCGCGCCCTGTCCTCCGAGGACTGCAGTCCCGCCCCAGCTGGGGCTTAGAGAGTAGAGGCTAGACCTAAGCCCCTACTGAACCCCTTGTGAGCGCCCTTCACAACAGAGCATGGCAGTGCTGCGTCAGTGGGGAAAGACAAGCCAAGGGGGTGATGCCCCAACTGGCCACGGCTGACCTACAGAGTGCCCCAGAGAAGCATGGAGAGCACAGGGAAGAGCTAAACACAAAAGGAACCGGGAGAATGGCACGGATTTCAGGTTAAATCTGTTCCTCATAGCACATTCGGAGCGTGGAAGGATCCAGAGACTAGCTGAGCTGTCCGAAGAGCACTTGTACACTGTGCTGGTCAACCAGCTCCGACTGCCACCATATAGACACTGAGACAGCACTGAACACAGCTCACACTGCCACCACGCTCACCAGAGCAGAGCTGGGAGAAGACGCTGTCCTCGTCTCTCTAATGGGAGTCAGTTCTCACACCAGCGTGGCCCTCAGAGTAGATTCACCCAATCTTCATCTAGGAGCAGCCATCTCGAGACACCCTCAACACGCATGGGACAGTGTGAAAAACTCAAATCTACTGTGCACCAGGGAAATGGCAGGAGGGCCACAGGGAGAGTGGTGGCTAGACCAGACACTTGTCCAGGTTAGTCATCCCCAGTCCAGACATTCAAAGCCTTTCTAGAGATAATGTTGAAAAAGCTTGGGTTTCAGAGCATTTTACCAATGAGGGGGCTCAATTGTAACAGTCTATGAAAATATCCCCAAATCTAAGACTCTGAGATCTGAAATGCTTCTGTCTGGGCACGAGTGATCCTCAGTCCGTGCCAAGAGCTGGTGAGGCACGGAGCTGCTCGAGAGCTGGTTTCACCTTTCTGTTTGCCTTAAATATTTACTTATTTTGAATTTTATGTATGTCCGTACACCATATGCACACCTGGTCCCATGGAGGGGAGAGGAGGCGCTGAGATCCTTGGGAACTGGGATTACAAACCGTCCTGAGTTGCCATGTGTGCTGGGAACCACCTTCTGCAAGAGGAACAAGTGCCCTTGACTGCTGGACCATCTCTGCAGCCCCCAATCTCATTTTTTAATTACCTCGTTTATAATTGAGAATATGCCAAGTTTTGCATAAAATTTCCCTAATAAGTATCTCCTATATTAATAAATGCTACCAAATCAGGTCACTAATATTTTTACATCTTCAAATTGTAAATAAATAAATAAATCCAGAGCAAATAGAATTCTCCTGCTTATCCTGCCAGTGAGGCATTCTGGAGAAATGGCAATGTGTGGGGAGGCTGCCTGGGGAGGCTGCACGCACACCTGTCTTGTGATTTCGCGACTCCTCTTAGCTCCGTACCAACAAAAATGTGTACAAGTCACCTGATGGCCTTGCAGAGGCTCTGTATACTGGAATACACTCCTGCATTGCAGGATCAGAAAGCAAGGGAAACACAGAAACTGAAGAGTGCACGTGACAGCATGGTGACTGTATAGTAGTCGGCGTTCTATTGCTCTGAAGAGACACCACGACCACAGCAGCTCTTATTAAAGAAAAAGCATTTAGTTTCAGAGGTTTAGTCCACTGCCATCATGGTGGGGAGCATGGTGGCGCAGAGGCGGGCATGGCACCAGAGAAGTAGCTGGGAGTTCCACATCCGTACCCACAGGCAGCAGGAAAAGAGAGTGAACGTGGGCTTGGCTTGGGCTTCTGAAACTTCAAGGCCTTCCCCCAGTGACACTTCTCCAACAAGGCCACACCTTCTGATCCTTCTCAAGCAGTGCTACTCCCTAATGTCTAAACACACACACACACACACACACACACACACACACACACACACACACTGGACATCCTAGGGAGCATAAGAAGCTTCCAGATGTGTTCAGCCAGCAACCTGTATATTAAATTGTGGTCCTTCCCCTCCTTAAATTTCACTAAAAGTTCAAAAGTACATGAAATGTTTTTTAAATGCACACAGAAAGTGCACCATCCCCACGACATTAGGCAGAACACGGCATTGCCTGCCCAGTGGTGCCAAGGCTTCCAGAATGAAAAGCAAAAGCAGTGTTTAGAGCTGGCCTGGCCGTCAGGTGCCTGTGTGTTCCTCGAGGCACCGTGTGTACAACAGAGCTCAGAGAAGGAAGGGCTGCCCTCTACACTGGGCACAGCCCAGGACTTGGGGACACAGAATGAGGAGGACAGAGAGGCAAGCAGAGAAAAGTGACTCCACAACAGGAAATGAAGTCGGGCTCCTCCCATGCCCTCAGTGCGCTCTACAGACCACTGAATCCCAGCAGGGATGTGCTGCTGTGCGTGAGTGCGTGCGTGCGTGCCTGTGTGCCTGTGTGGGTGTGTTCGTGCCTGTGTGGGTGCCTATGTGGGTGTGTGTATGTATGCCTGTGTGGGTGCGTGAACATGTTTGAGTGTGTGGTGCACATGTGTGTTTGTGTGGGTGTAAAGACATGTCACATGTGCACGCAGAGGCCAAAGGTTGTCGTCAGGTGATAGGTGATCTTTATCGCCTTCTCCATGTTATTTTCTGAGACAGGGTCTCTCACTGAACCTGGGGCTCCCTGCTTGGCTTGAATGGTGATTGGCTAGGATGGCTGGTGAATGACGCCAGGGACCTGCCTGTCTACCTGTCCCTCAGCTGGGATTACAGACACGCAAGCCAGGTTTTCATATGGGTGCTAGGAATCCAGGGCCCTTACTGTCCCTCGGGCATAACTCTGGTATTTTCTATTTCCTTCCTGCACTCACACCAACTCTCACCTCTGTCCAGGCAAGGCAGGCTTTACTCGTCCTCGCTCCCACCATGCTCAAGCAGCTAAGAAAAGCCGTGCTTTCAGGAGCGGGAAGAAGGTCTGTCAGGACCTAGCCGCCTTAGAGCTTTATAAATATTCCAGGCACCCAAAGGTGCTCACACCAGAATCCTTAAGGGACAGAGACCTTCAAGACCAGCTGGGGACACAGGGGGGAAATCTGGGGAGTGGTGCAAACTCAAGCAACAGGCTGCACGCCTGCACGCCTCTGTGGAACTGGCAGGGAGGCTCACTTGAAACCCATCTCCCATGGGGCAAGATCTCCAGGAAGCCTGACTACTCCTGAAATGGACAGTGGGGTTTCTGCTGCCTCCCAGAGTCCCAACTCTATGACTGCTTGGTCTGCCTGAGGCATGTGCACCAATTCCCAGACCCACACCTTAAGATACTGGGAGCATCGATTTCATCTCACAGTAGCTGCCAGCCCAAGTCACTGCAGAGCCACACTCAAGCTTTCTAGATTGAAAACACAGGCAGTATTTATAGCAGGCATGTCCGTCTGGTGCTAACCCATGAGCCGTGGCCAGAAACCAGGAGTCACAGGTCACACTTGAAGAAAAGCTGCCGTGTTTGCAGAATAGGCTGATTATAAACAATAATGAGGGACATGCTGAGAAGTGGGGTTTCATCTGCCTAGGACTGATGCTGCTGGAGCAGGCTGTGGGGGAGGCCTGGCTGAGGACCACAGCTCTTCTTACCACAAGCAAGAGGCCAGCTCTCACGACACAACAGGTACAGTGGAGGGCAAGCTCTGGGAGGCCAGCACAGCCCCACCACTGGGGACACTCACACCAGGTGACTGGGAAGCAGCAATGCTATGCCCACCCTGGCTCTCCTGATACGGTTCGTTTCCAAAGAGGGCACAGGACAGCCAAGTGGAATCCCAGCACTTGAGAGGCTGAGGCTGAAGGATTTCTATGAGCTCAAGGTCAGCCTAGCTTTGTCCTTCCAGGTCCCTTTGACAGAGTTATTCAAGGGTCTGCGTCCTTGTCCACATGCGTGAACCACGGCTCCACTTGGACAGTCACGGGGGGGGGGGGCTGCCTCCTTGCCCGTGTCTCAGAAGGCATCTTTGTAACCATGCATACAGCTCTCTCTAGCAGTGGGACCAAGAAGACTTTCCAGGAGACCTAAGCAAGGGAGAGAGAGGCTCTCTCCCCACTCCTGTGGTGAAACAGGGAAAACAGCCCAAAGTGACCCAGTTCCCTAAAGGAGCTAGAAGCTTTCCAGGGAGCAATGAGGCTCTGTGTCCCTTACTGCAGGGTGGGGCTACCAGTGACCTCAAGTGATGACATTCTGCAAAGTCCCCTCTTCTGTGATCAAAGCTGCATCAGGGTCACCGTGGTAACCAACTTTGCCCAAAAGCTATGGGCTCCTGAGGTAAGGAATTCAGGTTGCAACTTTGTCCAAACTGCCACCAACCCAACGCACTTCTCATGCTGGGTCCGTCAACTAGCACACACAGAACCAGCGGGACCTGGAACATGTGGAAAGCACAGACTGCAACCCCACACCCCACCTGGGCTCAGCAAAGGTAGACCTTCCACCTTATCCCTCTGTCCTGTGGTCCCTGCCTCCTTTCACCCTCCATGCCATAACCACAGCAGCAGACAGCAGGGATTCAGTCTCTCTCGGCGCTGCTGGTTGGGGGAGGTGTCCTTACAGTTTCTCTCTGTTTTGAATGGCAGCCCTAGGCTACAAGCATTCCTAAGAGTACCATTTGCTAACCGCTAGAAACTCAAACAACTTAATGTGTCTAGCCTCGTAACTAGACCCTTTGGGAATATAAGACATCTACACTGGAAGGAAAGAAATCTGTCCCTTCCTAAGTAAATGTCAATTACTTACTGACTCTTCCTAAAAGCTAGATGGCACCCAGCTTCCCAAACGTTGAAGTCACACAGGAGACCACCATTCTAATCTTCTGTTCCACAGTGATTTCCTTAGCAACCACCCCAGAGTTCAATGTGATATGATGTCCAGTGAACTGCCTCAGGCAGGAAGGGCATCGCAGAGATATTGCTGGGTTCCCTTAAAAACATAAAATGTGCTTTGTCCTCCTACCCTGTAACTTCACTGCTGCTGGGGCGTAAAATCTTGAGCCCCAGCGAATGGTATTGTTGCAACCATACCTGCCACAATGAGCCTGCTTGGTAAAATGTCCCCTCCCCAGACAGCCATCTCCGATTCTGGGACCTGGAGCATTTCTACCACTGTAGAATGCACTCCAAAGTGAGAGACGGCTTGTCTAGAGGGCCTGCCCTTCCGCGGCATCTGTGGTGGCCACATCGCCCTGGAAGCAGCCAGGCTCATCCCACAGGGCCCACCTGTCATGCACCACGCTCAATCACACCTGGCCTCGGGGCCAGAACTGGAAGATGCTTTTCCAGCTCACTAGTCAAGCCCCTTGCTATTCCACGAAACTTTCCAGGAAGCAGCCTTTTCAGCCTTCAGACTTCCCTCGCCAGCCTCTGCAGACTGAGCTCCAGTTCCAGGCTTCCCTGGACACAGAGAATGAACATACCCAGCATGGAGGCCCGACTGCCTTCCCCTCTCCATCCCAGGGTCTCGCTGTGGACGGTGACCCAAGGTAAGTAAGGCCAAGCTGAGGCTCGAAGGTGCACACACCAGGGCTCGTCCACGGCACACCCTTTGTCCACTGAGACACCACTTGTAACCCTCTCCTCACACTGAAACCGTCGGCCAGCATTATCAGAGTGGAAATCAGGAGGCTATGGAAAGTGGAGGTGTAGGTGTGTGTGTGTGTGTGAGGGGGGGTTCATTTTAAGGAGTTTGCTCGTGGGCTTGTGGGAGCCAACAAGTCCAACATTCCAGGATAAGCTACGAGGCCAGAGCTCCAGAAGTGCTGATGCTGCAGTCCTCCACCCATCAACACATCCCCAGCAGAAAGCCCTTTAAGAAAGGTCTCACTGCGCTATCTGGTATTTCATGGACTTCTAGAGAACGTGTTGTGGAATATTATTTTAAGATGAGTGACATTTGTTTATGCTGTGGAACATTTTTTTAACTATGCAAAGATGTGTTGCATTTGTTTGACTCTGTGAAGCTATGGTTCTTTGCCTGTCTAAACACCTGATAGGTCTAGTAAAGAGCTGAACAGCCAATAACAAGGCAGAAGGACAGATAGGCGTGGCTGGCAGGCAGAGAGAATAAATAGGATGAGAAATCCAGGAAGAATAAGAAGGAGCAAGACAGAACAAGGAGAGGAGGAGTCAAGGGCCACAGAGTCAGATCAAAGTAAAAGATGAGCAGAAGTAAGAAAAAGAAAAATCCCAGAGGCAAAATGTAGTTAGGACAATTTAAGTTAAGAAAAGCTGGAGAGAAACAAGCCAAGCCAAGACCAGGAATTTATAAGAAAGAAAAAGCCTCCAAATGTGTGATTTATCTGGGAGCTGGGTAGAAGACCCCCAAAAGACCCTAAAAGAGTAAGAATAAAGAATAAAAATCAACTACAGCAACACAAACCTCTCTGCTCCTCAACACAGCATAAACACAGACCTATATCTAGCTTGGTGAAACACTGAATTTACTGGGCTTACTTAAGGAAGTATGACCCCCAAACAGCCATAATTCTGTAGAATCAATCACTCCAGCATTAACAATAACTTTCCCAGAGCTCTAGAGATGGAGTTCCCAACCAGCTAACCTTCCACACTCTACAGATTTAGCACATCCAGAGGCCACATGTCTAGGGCAGAATTGCCGGTCCTCTGGCAGGTAGAGCAGGGGAAGGGCTGGTCCAGTCAGTCTCTTCCTGCAGCTGAGCTGAGTGGGATGCTGGGTGTTGACGACTCAGACCCTCCCCCCTACTAGTTGCTACGGGGGGGGGGGGGGGGAGATACACACTGAGTCAGAGTCGGGATCTCAATTTATTTTAACAGGCAGGAACTTACATAGGACTGGGGTAGGTGATGGGAAACATAGGATAGGGTAAGGTGACATGAGGAGTAAGGGCCAATAGTATTCCACCAAGCTGACAGGTAGCTAGGCAGGGGGCAACCTTACATCAGGTCTGGCTCAGTCACTCCCTCATGGAGATTACATGTCAGAGAATTGTGTTTATAATAATGAAATATCAACAGGCCCAATTTGAGGGTGTGTCTTCAAATCAAGCTGCTCAGATTAAGACTGATGAAGAGTGTAACAGCTGTCATGCTCAGAGGACAGCGTTCCACAATACCTAGGTTGATCCTGAACATGTGACATCCTGCCTCAGCCTCTGGAAATGCGACATTACAGGCCTGGCCACCAGGCATACCAATGTTGCAGTCTTAACGCAAAGTCTGTCCAGATGTAAAATTCCTTCCTGCTTGGAGTCCTTGGTATTTTCTCCTAAATTCTTCAGCTGATGAGCGAAGCCCACACACGCTATGGAGGGCAATCAGCAGATCTCGACATCAATCACTTGAAAAGCACCTGCAGCAAGACTGGCGTTGGAGCAGAAAAGCAGGCGCTCGGTCTAGCCAAAAGGACGCAAAACAAACCACTGTCCTTACTGGGAGGCCAGCAGGACTGCCTCTGACCCGTTCTTTTACCAGAGCATCATTGTAGACAAGCTGCTTCCTAAGTGTTGGTCATGCCAAAATAAAACCAAAGAGCCCAACTCTGCAGAACACAGTCCTCCAGTTACCAGCCACCACCGCCTTCTACAGAGCAACCGTGACTGTGGGCAAGTGACCCTCAGGACGGGGCCTGTTGATGACTCTCAGGAATGTGGGGCGGGAAAGGTCATTAGATCCTCATCTGAGGTCCTCGCCACGCCTTCCTACCTACACTTCTGCCCCGCTGTATGTGGTCTGGGAGGTCATGGAATACACAGTGTCAGTTAACTGAAACAGAGACCCCATCTCTGCAGCGGTGGAGAAGTTGTCATCCATGCTGGGGTGAGACTCTTGGCGGTGTGGATCTTTAGGGGCCACAGGCCACACACCCTTGTAAGTAACCCCTTACCCATGCTCTGGAAGCGAGCCCAATAGAATAATTAGCTCACAAAGCTAGCCTTGGGTAGAATGATACTTTGGTCTGTCATTGGTACCACATCTGGAGTGAGTAGATGTTTGCATCTCCCCAGGAAACACGCAGACAGCACTTCCTGTCATGGCCCGTACCTTCCAGAGCACAAAAATAGACAACAGATACATAAAGAAAAATGATGAAATTCAGTCTTCAAAGTGTGTCAAGTGGGAAAAGAACACAGAGAAGACAGCAATCATTAGGGGAAGGAGGCATTGGCAGGGAAGGCATCACCCGGAAGTAGCTTTCACGCAACATCATAAAGGAGCTGGCAGAGCAGTCCCCAGGATAAGGAGTGGTGGCCCTGGCATGGTAGGGAGACATAAGTCACTTGACTGTGAGGTCAGGAACAGGGGGACCAGCTGACTCAAAAGAGGTGAAGAAAAGCCAAGTTCTGATTTTTTTCTAAAGGCAGGAAGAGGACCTGTGGGTCTGAAGAAGGCTAGAGCGGCCAGCCCTAAGAGGCTAGAAGAGTGTTAACCACTGCCGTGGGGTGTGCAAAATACCCAGTTGGTGTCCAGTCTGCAGCTCTGGTAGCACCCCACTCCTCTATGACAGCGGCCTCCTCAAAGGCAGTCAACCATCCTTCATCCATCCAAGGTCACCTCCAGTAGGACAGCTAACTGCAGCTCGGGCACAACAATAAAACTACAGAGATACCAAAGGATGCAAAGGGACCTTTGAAATTTGGCCCTGTGGTTTCACTTTACCTTTTATAATTATTTACTATTATTATTATTATTATTATATTAATGCATTTTATTCACTGGAGGGTGGCATACGCCACAGTATGCATGTGGAAATCAAAGGATAATTGCAGAAATTGGTTCTTGTTGTCACTCTGAGACCACCAATGGAGTTAGACCTAGCTTGGAGGACAGACTTCACATTCAGCTAGCCAGTATGGACCATAGAGTTTTCTAGCGGACACAGAGGAAGACAGAGGGACACAGAGAGGTAGAAGAAAGGACTTGGAGAGATTCACAGGCTTTTGGATCTGGGAAACGTGGAGAGTAGGGTCAGCCAATTGTTCCTCCACTGTTCTTTGGATGTATCAGGTTTTTATCTCAATTTCTGACTCCTGGGTTTTAGTTAATACCAGGACAATGAAGGTAAAGGCTTTACCTGGTATCCAGCGTGTGGTGGCAGCTTTTAAAGCCACCACTCCCACCACTGGGGGTCACCAGCTTTCCCATTGCCATCTCCCCACAGCAGCTGCATGCCTGTCCCCGAAAGTGCAGTCACAGCCACCCACCTGCTGCAGCCACCTGACTCACCTCATCGCTGACCCTGTCATTCAGGCAGCCCTGTTGCCCTCCCACGCCACATGCTAGCTGCCAGGGCTTCTCCTGCCTGGTTTCCCCTCACATCTGCTTCTCAGGCTTCTCCCTCCCCCTCCAGCATGGCAAAAGCACCTGGGAACAACCACTGCTCCTCAATCATGTCGTCCCTGAGTGGCCTGGCATAAGCACCTGGGCCAAGCAGAGCTAGTGTGGCTGCCTGTCACATCCTACACACACACACACACACACACACACACACACACACACACACACACAGCTGGCTATCCTCACAGTTTCACACACACACTCACACACACTCACACACACACAGCTGGTACCCTCACACAGTTTCACACACACTCACACACACACATACACACACACACACACACAGCTGGCTACCCTCACACAGTTTTTCTTTTGCTATCAGCAGCAGCAGATCTTGTGAGACACCTGAGAATTCTCAAGGGGGAACTTCTTAGGTAACTACATTAAGAGGTTCTGGAAAATCTGATGATGACATGAACAGCATGTAACTGACTTTTGAGTATAATCATAAGAGTTTAGGGCTACTTTACTTAGATTTCCTGACTTATAACCAGCCTTTCCCAATTTATTTATAGGAGGTCCAGAAACTGGTGTTCCTGTACAATGTGAGGAAGAATCCAGTTAATTCTCCTTATAAACTGAAGTCTCTTGCTGTTGGGACATTTGTTGATAATGTCTCCCCCAAAGAATCACTGATTTTTTTTTACAAAGATTGACTTCAACTGAAAATAGAATTACATCAGATCCAGAAGTTAGACAAATAATAATTGAATCTTTGGCTTTCATTAAGTACTAATTCAAAATGCAAAAGAGTAATTAGATCCTTAAAGGCAAGATCAGCACCAACAGATGAATGAAGCCAAAATATTAGATCCCACGCTCATGATGATACTTGGATAGAAGTGATTTCCAAAAATTATAGAAAAGTCAAAAGATCAGATGTTTTGATAGTAGTAAACAAGGTCTAAAAGGGGATTGTAGGCAAGGAGTTCCTGGAAATCATTTTTCTAGAGATAATCCAAACAGAAGGCCTTAGCCTTCTGGAATACGCAGAAGGTGTGACTAATGAATGCAGGTCAACAAGGGACAGACAAGGTAACCCTTTGCCATTGGGAAACACCTTAGGGAGCCTCTCACAGACCCCAATGTCAAATTTGGTTCAATCATTCCCTGTCAGATCTAGGGAATCCCTGTCCTCAGAGCAATTAGAAGACTTAATGCCTGCTGTGAAAAAAAATATTGCTCTGGATGATAGAACAGCTTCAGTAGATACAACAAAATTTTCATCACAGACCATAAAACAAATATTTTGGCAAACTTCTATAAATGATCAGAGACCAGCGCTAAAAATACAAATAAATGGCATTGCAATTGAATTTTTACTAGACATAGGCACAATAACTTCCCCACAATCTTGACATCCAGACTGGCCTCTTCGGGAGGTAAATATTCAGCTTCCACAGACTGGAACTTCATTTTAGGGAAAACATACTACAAGATAGGTCGAATGAATGGGGCCAAAAGGAAGGCAGGGAGACTAAAGCCACATGTGGCTCACATAGCAACAGATTTATGGAAAACCCAGACTAACATTCCTCCAATCTCAGAAACAAACCATATACCAAAGTATGCATCTCATAAAAATATGGAAATGCATTAGAAAAAACAATCAACAACCCTTCAGGTTGTACATGAGCAGGGTACAACAGCTGCTGATCTTTCAAAGGTACCAACAGCCTTACCTTTAAAATGGTTAGCTGACAAACCTGTGTGGGTGGAACAATGCCTTTGGCATCAGAAAAATTACAGGAACTAGAACAGCTGGTACAGGGGTATGTAAATGCTCAATATATTGAAGAACTGACCAGCCCTTGGGATTCTCCTGTATTTATCATTAAAAATGAACCTGGAAAATGGAGAATGTTAAGATTATAAATAAGGTAATTCAGCCAATGGACTCCTCACAGCCTGGACCTCCCTTGCATTCTCTATTACCTAAAGGATGGTGTATTATAATGATTGATCTAAAAGACTGTTTTTACTATACTTTTACAAAAACAGCATAGAGAAAAATTTGCCTTCACAGTATCTAATAAGTCCCAGTCTGTTAAAAGGTATCACTGGAAAATTATTCCACAAAGGATGTTAAACAGCCTCACCCTGTGTCAATATTTTCTACAACAACCATTGAAAATAATTCATAAAGAGTTTCCTCAATCTGTAATTTACCATTATATGGATGATATTTTACTAACTGATTCAGCTCAGATGCCTTAGGGGAAAAAATGCTTGAAAAGGTAAAATAATGTTTGCCTTCTTGGGGATTACAAACTGCTCCTTAAAAAAATACAAAGAGAGTTTTCCATTGATTTAAGACAGGGTCACAGAAAATTCAACCAAAAAAAACATACAAATCAGAAGAGATCAATTACAAACTCTAAATGATTTTCAAACTATGGCCTGCAACTGGATTAACTACCCAAGCACTAAGTAATTCGTTTCAAAACTTGCAAGGTGATAAGGACTTAAATAGTGCAAGAAAATTCTCAGCTGAGGCCGAGAGAGAGTTGGCTTTGGTAGAAAAGAAATTGCAGGATGAGCACGTGGATCGCTTGGATCCAGAACTTGACTGTGTTCTGGTTATTTCACCTTCTAGGCATTCTCCCACAGGAGTTCTTAAGAATGCAGAGGGAAGATACTTTAGAATAGATATTTTTTTTTTTTTTTTTTTTTTTTTTTTGGTTTTACGAGACAGGGTTTCTCTGTTTTGGAGGCTGTCGGTCCAGCCTGGCCTCGAACTCACAGAGATCCGCCTGCCTCTGCCTCCCGAGTGCTGGGATTAAAGGCGTGCGCCACCAACGCCCGGCCTAGAATAGATATTTTTACCACACAAATAGAGTAAAAATTTAAAGACCTATGTAGATAAGATTTCTGAACTGACTCTTAAGGAACAATAAATACTTCATTAATCAGCAGGAAAAGACCCAGTAGAAATTGTGGTACCTTTTACTAACGCTGAACATGCCTCATATGGACACTGGCAAAGAGCCTGTGGCAAGTTTGGGGAGAGATATTAGTAACAGATACCCCAAAAACAAGAGACTTCAGTTCATAAGGAAAATTAATTGGATCCTTCTTCACATTCTATGGAGAACACCAATTTCTGAAGACCCTACATTCTATCCTGATGCAAATAAATTGGGAAAGGAAGGTTATAGTCATGAAAATTAAGTAAAGTGGTCCTAAGCCCTTATGATTTTGTTCAAAAGTCAGACATATGCTATTCTCATGTTATCATTAGATTTTTAGATTTTCCAGAACCTCTCACCGTAGTTATTGACTTTCAGTGTGCAGAAAGAGTTGTTTTTCATATTTAAACCACTGAACTTATACCAGATGATTCCAAATTAACTTTTGTTTCCACAGGAGAAGAAAAGCTATGGATACCATCGAAATTGATAAAAATTAGATTTGAACAAGAGAGACCTCTTAATTAAGGAAGGCCTCTTGATTAGTTCATCAAACAGCATGGCCTTTCAATCTACACTAACTTACTAGATGCCAAAAAGGGAAACTCCCCAAAATTAGGGTTGGTGCAGGGTTTTGTTTTTGTCTTTGCAAGAAAATAAAAGCATCCAACTAAGGCAACTTAGGAATCTGAAGACCACTGTACAAATGAGACATCTGGAGAAGACGAGAGAATGATCCAGAGAAAATGCCCCGAGAAGAAGAGTCAACTGGCCTAATGGTACAGCACACTTCCAATAGGATAAAATCTCATAGGTCTTCCCAAATGTGTGTTTCTGCTGTTCTCTACAGACATACAAGGCAAACGGTCTTTTGTAGTTCCAGTACAATTAAAACTTAAATCTGGCTTTAGAGTTGGAGAGTGGCTGTCTCCTTCTCTAAACCCAAGCATGCTTGTTAAAGAAAATAAAAATCTCTCTCCTATCTCAGAAGAACCACCTGGTATAGGACAGAAGAAAAAACAAAACCAAGGTACTATTCCTATTCTTTTGCCACTAATCTCATAATCCTTTGGTTTTGAGTCTTTAAAACTTTTTTTTTGGATTTTCAAGGCAGGGTTTCTCTATACTGCTTTGGAGGCTGTCCTGGAACTTGCTCTGTAGACCAGGCTGGCCTCGAACTCACAGAGATCCACCTGCCTCTGCCTCCCAAGTGCTGAGATTAAAGGCATGCGCCACCAATGCCCAGCCTTTAAAACTTTTTTAAAGGTATAAATATTATCCCAAAATTAATAAGATTTGTACATATACACACATATACACACACACACTTAAACTTTCTGTGATAATATTAATGGTCATATAGAGTACTAAAAATTCTAGAAATAGGCTCCATCTAGCTTCCAATGTGTGATTTCGGGCTTGAATCTGAAGCAGGTAACTAGAAACTAAATTGGTGTATCCCGGATGTACTTAATAGTTTGTGGTCCCTCAACCTCTCCAAGATCTGCCGCTGATGACTACAGTGAGCCGTGGCCATTCCTGACAGTGGCCTTTGACGCCTCCAGAAGGATGATGGGGCACAACAGCGACAATTTTGTTTGGATTGTGGTAATGCCAGTAAGCTGACAAACCCCACCCAAAGTCAGCTTTGGGCAATGTCAAGCGTTAGCTAAGATGGCCCAGCCTCACAGACTACTCCAGCCATGACTTCAGATGAGCCCTGCACCTTCTCATCACAACAGACTGGACAAACCCAGGTCTGCCAGGACTTGACCATTATTTCAATTTTCTCAGAGTCCCCAAAGATGCCACAACCCCCAGACAACAGGAAGTAATCTTAAGAACAGGAAGCTGTCTTAGTTAGGATTTCTATTGCTGTGAAAAGATGGTACCATGACCAGAGCAACTCTTATAAATAAAACATCATGACCACAGCAACTCTTATAAATAAAACATCTAACTGAGGGAGCTTGCTTACAGTTCAGAGGTTCAATCCTTCAAGGCAGGGAGCATGGCAGTATGCAGGCAGACATGGCACTGGAGCTAACAGTCCTACATCTTGACTCAAAGGCAACAGGAAGCTCACTGACACACTAGGCAGTATCCTGAGTATATGAAACCTCAAATCCCACCCCCAGAGTAACACACTTCCTCCAACAAGGCCACACACATTCCAACAAAGCCACAGCTCCTAATAGTGCCACTCCCTATGAGATTATGGGATTATAGGGGTCAAACACATTCAAACTATTACAGACTCCCACATTCCTAAGAGATGGGGTGGGTGATTTTGGTCATTTGGTGGATTATTTTTGTTTATCATTTGGATGGTTGATTGCAAGTTGTTATTGGTCATAATCAGGGAGGAAACTAAGGAAAGGAGATTAGCTTCAGGGATCTCTTTCTGAAAAGAAAAAAGGGGATCCAGAAATGATAGCAAAGGGTAGATTGTTGAATCTACTTTTAAACTAAAAAAGCAACTACTAGGCTCAAATATTTTACATTGGTATGGAGTTTTGTATACTGATAAAAACTTAAGGTTATTTTGTCATACTGTATTATGTTTCTACTCTTGTTTAAAATATTTTTGTATGTTAATATAAATTTTTGTTATAATATATATGTCTATTATTGTTTAAGGTATTGTATCTATGCATCATATTTAAGAATTTAATGTAACTTTCTAGTCCTTTGAAGCTATTTAGCATAATAAAGAAATACAGATAAGTAGTCATGTATAATAAACAAACTTATAGCTATGTTAGGTATGTTTTCAAGATCAAACAGATACATTTTAAATAGATAGATAGTCTTCAAACATATCAGAGATCTATAGACAATGGCATTTAAAATGTGTCAATGACATAAGGCTTTTCATGACAGTGATACATGCCTTCTCCTGGAAGGACCAGTCACTTCAAAGGAAGATGACGGACAGGCATGTGAGAACCTCCATTTGGAGTTTGCTTTCACTGTGGCAAAGTTAGCCACTGAGAAAAACAATTGCCCTTGCCTCAACTACTGACATTATGCTGTCCAAATTGAACAAGCAGAACACAAAAGGACACTGCCCAACTTTGCCAAGACAAGGCATGACAGTCCTTCAACATTTCCTGCTTCACAAAAAAGTTTGTCAGATATTCTAGGCCTGTAGACCAAAGACAGATGACCCAAAGTTGCAGAGGAAACTTGAAGTGACAGTCCATGCAGCCAGATGTCTCTGTCATGTCTATAGTTTTGGAAATTGCTTTCTCTGCACTTTCTGCTTACTCAGATAATATTACATCCTTCTTGGGTCTCTGATGGGGTTGAAGACCATATAGCTATAGTTACAGTTTTCCTTAGTCATGATAGAAAGCAAATTAGGTACAAAATTTTGGACTTACCAAGAAAAGATAGATGGTCTAGACACTGTGCATGCAATTCTTACTTGACAGTTGCTCTTATTGTATATAGTTTTATTATGTTAGAGTTAAAAACCCTTTCATTTTTTGTAGACAAAGGGAGAGGTGTTGCAGGAGATTTGTTTTTGTTGACACTCTGAGATCACCAATGAAGACAGACCTTGGTTTGGTGGGCAGAGTTCATGTTCAGCTGTCCAGTATGGATCATAGAGTTTTATGGCCAACTCAGAGGAAGATAGAGGAACACAGGAAGGAGAGATTTGCAGGATTTTGGATCTGGGAAATGTGGAGAGTAGGGTCATCCAATTGCTCCTCCACTGTTCTTTGGATGTATCAGGTTTTTATCTCAATCTCTGACTCCCGTTTACTAATACTTGGACAATTAAGGTAAATGCTTTAGTCCTGGGGATCCAACTCAGGTTATCAGACTTATTGACAAGTGTTTCTACCCACTGAGCCATCTCTGCAGCCCATGTTTAATTTCTTAACAGTCTAGTCTAGGGTTTGGTCATGCAGACACAGGAGCCAGGGTGCCTACTTAAACCCCGGTGCCCCTACTTCCTAGGTGTAACTTCAAGCAAGCCCCAGAATCAGATTTTTAAATTTGTGACTAGAGACCGATGCAAAAATCTACTTGTACAGTGATATCTACATAAAGACACTCAATGCTGAACACTGGTTAAAATACCTCAGGCATGCAGAACGAAGAGCATTAACATTACCCAGGGGCACCAGAGCCACGGCTCAGTGGCAGAGCACTTGCCTCTCATACGCAAGGCCCTGAGTCCCATCCATTACACATGAGGTAAACAGACAAGTGTCAATCATTCAGTTCTACTGTTTGTTATCCATTATAAAGAGCCCCTGTAGCCTGGCATAGGTTTTTATATCACACTGTAAAAGGTACCTATAAGATCTTAAAAGATGTATGCACATATATAATTCGCCCCCCTCTTTTTTTCTCTGTGTAGCCCTGGTTGTCCTGGAACTCACTATGTAGACCAGGCTAGCCTCAAACTCAAAGATGCACCTGCCTCTAACTCCCAAATGCTAGGGTCAAAGGTGTGCACCACCACTGCCAGGTAACACAAATCCTTTCTAAATTGAGAAAGGATTTAAATGAATGGATCTGCGCTTTATATTTCTGAAATTTGAAAATATGTGGAGTTGACACATTCCTTTAACCATTCTGTGACCTCCCTGAATCTCTTCACACCCAACTTCATGGACAGCAGTGACCACAGCATCCTCAGAGCCACACACACTGGAGCTAGTCCACAACATGCGAGGGCTCCTTAGCACCAGGTGAGGTTAGGACACAGGTGCTTGCCGTGCGACACACACACACACACACACACACACACACCAGCTAAAGCTGAGTTTCCTCTGCAAAGCTCCCATGCTGACTCTGAGGAGATTTAGGGCCACAAAACGGAGCATTTGATGTGGAGAAGCCCGAGAGAAGTTGTCAGATCCTGACTGAAAGTGTGGAAACCTTTGATCTAGGATTATGAAGCAGATGAGCTGGTCAGCCCCTCACACAGTGACAAACACAGTTTGTTTGAATCTGCCCGTGAACAGCAGGACCGTCTTCCCCTTTCCTTTGATCCCCACATAAGAGGTAAGAGCCACTGAACAATGGGGACAACCAGAGTCCCTCACCCTCTCCATCACCTCTGCTCTCCCCCTCTGACTCAGCCCTGGCAGGTAGCTGTCCCTAGAAAATGTGACCTGAGTTCCTCGCCCTTAGTTCTGGCCCATGGAGAGGGCTTTCCCTCTGTGAATTCAGCCCAGGTAGGGCATAATTCACACAGATGCATATTTAGAAGCTGCACCATATTCTTATTTGGAGGGCAAGGAATTAACAGGACTCAAGCAGGGACTCTGAATTGCCTGCCGCTCTGATCCTTCAAGAAAATACATCTTGATGAAATATTCAATGATAATAATGAAAAGCCCCCTTGGGGGCCCAGGGGAAAAGAGAAACTGGAATCTATGTCAAAAAAATGAATGTTATCATGAATACACCCCCAAAAATCCTCCAGAGTAAACATAAAAGGAATGCCTGCCAAAAAGCATCTTCTTCAGTGAAGAGAGCTCAAGTCTCTACCACCGTGGAGCCAGTTCTCAACTGAAGGGTAAGGGAACGCACGGCACAGTGTGGCTGTCCCACAGAGTCCACAGCAGTGGCAGACACAGCTCCAGTGGTCACACGTAGCTCTAGACACTTGAACGCGACTGGCACTCCCACAGAAGTGCAGTCCGGTTTTATGCAACTCCAGCTCATTTAAAGACACACTCCAACGGTTACACATGGCTAGTGACTACTGCATTCCAGTCACTCAATAAAAATCACAACCTGACTGACTGATACCTTTCGCTTTTTACAAACAAAATCCAGGTGTGGTGACACATGCCTCTAATCCCAGTACTCGGGAGGAAGAGGCAGGTGAGTCTCCGAGCACAAGGCCAGCCTGGTCTCCAGAGCAAGTTACCCTGTCTCCAAAACACAAAATAAATCAACAACAAAAGCTGTGTGTACAGTGTGTGTGTGTGTGTGTGTGTGAGTGTGTGTGTATGTGTGTGTGCAGGCGAGTGCGTGTATGTGTGTGTGTGCAGGTGAGAGAGAGAGAGAGAGTGTGTGTGTGTGTGTGTGTGTTATACCCACACATGCACTTGTGCCAAGATATGCTCATGAAGGTCAGGGACAATTTCCAGGAGTCAGGTCTCTCCTTCCACCGCAAGCTCCGGGAACTGAAGTCGTGTCATCAGGCTTTCGAGCGAGCACCTTTGCCTGCTGAGTCATCATGCTGGCCCTCATTTTACTTTTGAGTCAGGGGCTCTTTTCTATAGCCCAGGCTGGCCTTGAACTCACCTTCTTCCTGCCTGCCCGCCCGCCTGCCTACAGCTCCTAAATGCTAAGATCACAGGCATGTGTCACCACACAACCTTCAGAGTCAGAATGCTACACGGCCCGATTCTGCCAAAGTGCTGTGCCTGTGAGACAAAGGCACACAGAGAGCTGAAGGAAGAGACCCCGGTGTGTCATTTCCTGTCATTTCGTTTTGACTGCCCCGGTAACACAGATGACTCGGGTGACACAGGAAAGGTGCCAAGCAGCACCTAGCAACTAGGATACCACCTAAAGTTTTGTTCATAAAAATGGCAGAATCTGTTACGAAATAGAATGGTGCTTCTACAGTGAGGTTTGTGTTGGCAAAGTTGTTCTGGGTCCAAACAGTCAATCCCCACCCACCCCATCCCACCCCCACCCCCGCCACGCTGAGGTGGCCTCTCAGCACCCACCATCAACCTCCAAAGACCACACAGTCACCCAGACTGGCAGCTCAGTCCTCTCGAGGAAGCTTACTGTAGTTCCATAAAGGACACAGCCCCAGACCCTTTTCAATGTCTCGAGACTGCACTCGAGTCATCGGTCCCCTGAGATACTTGGTCAGTACTGAGACACCTTGAGGGACATGGAAACATCACCCTCTCTTTCACCAGAGAGCACACTTCCTGTCTCCCGGATCACACAGAAGCTGAGTACAGACCCCCAAATGTATCCTCTGACCTCCCAAACACATCTGTTATATGAACATGCCCACTCTCACACATACCACACACACACACTCACACATACACACATATACATACACACACTCACACCACACACACACACCCACATCACACACACACTCACACACATACACACACACCCCACACACACATCAGACACACACACCACACACACACTCACACACATACACACACCCCACACACACATCAGACACACACTCATACCACACACACACCCACACATCACACACATACACATACACACACACACACACACACACACACTCCAATAAAAAATTAAACCCATTAAGTGACAGATTCAGGGCCTGCTTCTTATAGGCCCTTCTACCTATGAAAACACTGAGTACCCCTGCTAGTCCCAGGAGAAACTGCCCCCTAGCCCCAGGACAATGATAATCTAACTAATCATCCTCATTTAAAGCTAGGAAAACAACATTGTGATGTGATCTCCAGAATCACATCTGTACTCTTTCAAGGAGGGTAAAATGGACTCTCTACACTAGAAAAAGGCCTAGCAATGTACACACCTCTTCTGTGACATGGATATATCCTTGAGAATGGGAACTGTGTCCCTAGAACTTGTGCACAAATATTCATAGCACTATTTTTCACAATAGCCAACAACTAACAAAAAGCAAAGCCTGGCCACAAGGCACGTATCCAGGAACAGGGGATATATGCAAACAAACTTCGGGGCCCACACCTCCTGAACATAACTCATCAGTAACAAAAGGGAATTACTGAGTGAGAAAGAAACTTTATCCGGTACTGCAGAAGTCCATGCGTGTGATGTTCAGAAAACAGGCTAAACGAACCTATGGCAAGACAGAGCAGAGGCTGCCACTGGGAAGTCAGGGGCTAGAAGTGACCAGTGGTGACCACGAAGATACCCGGGCTGATGGTATATTATCCGCCATGATGAGGTCTGTTACACAGTGCATGCATATGTCAAAACAATGTGCAGACATGTGCTGCCCTAAGAACACATGACCACATATTGGACACTAATGAAATGTGAGTTGAAATGTTTACAAGTGACTGGGCACTAAGAATGCGAGTTATTTTAAAATACGTAAAGCAACCCATTAGATAGGCAAATGATGGCTAGATGTGCAATACAGTCAATACAATAAAATGTTAGAAAATCTGCATCCGGGTCTTTGTTTCTGTAGCCCAGGCTGGCCTCCCACTCAAATTTCTCCAGCCTCTTCTACCTTCTGAATTCTGAGGTTACAGGAGTATGCTACTGTTCCCGGCTAGGTAGTTGTTTGGTCCCTGTTGCGACGTTACTAGATGGTAACGTTTGTTTGTTTGTCTGCTTTAGTGGGGGCTGGGTGGCTGTGGTGGTGCAGATCATAATTCCAGCACTTGGAAGAAGGATCACTGCAAGTTTGAGGCCAGCCTGGCCTACATAGAGAGAGATCCAGGCCAATGGGGACTTCATAGGGAGACCGTGGTAAAAGCAGCCATGGCCATCAAGCCATGGGACCACCCAGCTTCAGCATGGAGGAACACAAGTAGCTTTCCGGGAACTCCCATCACACAGGCCTACTTCCCCACAGACAGAGCAATTCCTTGAAATCAAGCCAAAAATCCGTGTTCCAGAGGGAGAGAAAGAAATCACTGACTTGTGCCCCCAGTTTATTCTATTTCAATTCCATGATGTCAGAAGGACAAAGACAAAACAAGTCAGTGTCGTGCCCCACAAACGCGGGCACAGGAAGGTACCCAGCTCGGGGCTGGAACGCCTCACGCCTCATGAAACCCCTACAGAAGGCAGGAGCGCGTGCAAGCTCACTCTAGGGCGACAATGATTCACTGAGGTTAGAGCACACGCACCAAACAGCGTGTTGCCTAACCTCTGAGGGTGGCTGGTGACATGTGTGTCGCTTGAACTTCCTCCAAATTCAGCTGACCCGAAGGTAAATTAGAAATCTGACGACCAGGGGTGTATTGGGTTCAGTGGCTGTACCCATGGACTAGCAGGCCACTCACATTACACCCGGGCTTCCTTCCTGGAAAAGGCTTATCCTGAGATGACACTCCATGGTAGGGCCCGGGAGACACCTGCTCTGACCGCTCGCCTGGCATCTGAAAGCGGCTGTAAGGACAGCTGGGCAGCCCCTCACATACAAAGATCTGTGCCAGGCTCCTTAAACAAGAAATAGTTTTTGTTTGTAAGCCCGTAAACAAACTCACTGGCACCATCCACGGCCCACAGGGGGCAGCTGAGAGCCGGCAGCCAAGAGGCAGCAGGGAGCAGGCGCGAGGCTAACCCTGCCCCTGCGCGATTCTGGCCTCCAGAGATAGCGGTGCCGAGCGAGCGGACCCGGAGCACTTGCCTGACAGTCAGGCTTCCTGAAATACACACACCTCCTCCCGGCCCAGAAGCCATGCCCATCCTAGGCGTGCCCCGTGCCTAGGAAAGTGTGTTAGGACAAGACAAGAAAAACCCCTTTCAGAAGGGGGGGGGGCGTTTCTGGTGCCAGGGAACTCGGCTCCCAGAGTCTTCACCGAGTCTCGGCGCCTGGCCCGTCTGCCCTCAGGCTCGACCCAGCGCACACCTCTGCGCTGGGTCGAGCCCACCCCCGCCCCGGGAGCACGCGGGTGGTGGCAGCTCCCATCTGCTCCGAGCCGGGGTCCCACTAGTCGCCGGCCCTAACCCACCTGTAGCCTCCGAGCTTCCCTCCTCCGCGTCCTCCCAGTGGTTCCTGCGTCTGCGGAGCCCATGACCCCCCAGTCGAACTGACCCTCTGTCTCCCTAACGCACTCCCGTGTTTTGTTTTTTTTCCCCTCTTCACCATTAAAAAAAAAAAGAAAGAAAAGAAAAAAGGGGGAAAAAAGTTGGCCCAGAACCTGGCGTCCCATCGATCTATCCCCACCTCCGTGCGACCTGGACCAGGGGTCTTGCCTGGCAGCTCCAGAGTCCTGAGGAGCCATCAGGAGCTGTCGCCCAGCTCACCGGGATCGGGAGCCGAGGCCCTGCGCGTCACCCCGCCACACGCCCACCTACCTCTTGGGACCGGTGGTGGCGACCGTGGCGCGGGCTCCCGGAGACGGCGTGCTGCGTCCCGGGATGAAAGTTTGTGCCATGCAGGGCAGGGCGGCGCGCGGACGGTGGGGCCCCGGGGGTGGGGGCAGAGCGCGGGGCGCGGCTGCTCGCTCGCGTGTCGTGGGTCCCTCGGGCGCTGGCCGCGCGGGTGCCTCCCCGGAGCCAGTGGCCGCCGCGCTCCCGCTCGCTGCGCCCTGCGCCCTGCGCGCTCCGACTCCAGCCCCGCCGCCCCCACCCCACCCACCCCACCCCGCGCCGCCGCCGCCGCCGCTGCCGCCGCCGCCGCGCGTCCGCCCGCTACACTTCCTCTTCCTCTGAACTCATGTGCAAAATATGCTGTGCTGCATCTTCTCGGGGGAAGCCGAGCGGCCCCTGGCAGGCAGACGCGAGAGACCCGTCGGCCCCGTGCGCAGTCAGCGTTCCGCAACCCCCCCCCCCACCCCCGCCCTTTCCCAGTCCCGGGCTCTGGAACCCGCTTTGGAAAGCGCCAAAATGCCAGCCAAGATGCTGGAAAGGAGACCGCCATCAACATGCGGATGGCCAGGGTGGGTGGGTGGGGAAGCTGGTCCAATCTCGACCCATTCCACAGGTGGGAATGTCCCCCAGCAGCGGGCGTGCTGCTGGGTTTGTCTCTTGGCAAGCAGTACTTGGGGCGAGAAATGGTGCCACTGGCCTCAGCCTCTCTTCCTCCCCCACCTTATCCAGGTAGCCAAAGGCTTAAGATCTCGAGGTCGTCTTAGCCTAGCAAGATGGGTACCTCGAGGAGAATATTCATTCCATAAATCAAAGTGAAGATGTGTAACAGTGTCTCCTTGAGGCCTGCAAAACAAAACAGAATTGCTGTGCAGGGCTTGAGAGCAGGAACCCTGGAGACAAATGGTCAGGAGGGATTTCTGCTTTCTGTCCTTAACTCCCCTGTGACTGGAGTGACTTTGGGCCTGTTCATTTGCCAAGCGGCCCTTCCTCGTGCATTATTAAATGGGAAATGCTTGGAAGCACTCTGTAACTCGGCTATTATCGTTATTATCATCATTACCATAAGGGGCTGAGATCTAATTGATTACCGTGTTCTGGTTGGGCAAAGAAGGGTCCTAAGGCAGTGGAGCCGCGCGGCGGAGGGCTGATCTAGGCCCTGGGTTTTAATGAGGTCTGTCTGGTACTAATAACACCCACCAGGGGGAAGAAGCTGTCTTGCTTGCAGGGACTCCTCTTGTGAGAGCCTCTCCGGGACTTTCTTTCCTGTAGCCATCTGTCTCCCCCACCCCCATTCATGTTCTTCCACCTTTGCCTGTCCAGGCACTTCCTGACGTGCCTCCCACCTCTGTCCCCACTTCCCATCTCCAGCTGTCCCGCTGGGAGAAAACAGATAGCCGGACAAGGGTCCAGGACACCCCTGGTGTCGAATGCTTATTAGTAAAGTCAAAGGGAGGTCTTTATGCTAAAGATCTGCCCGAGAAAATTGGGGCTATCTCGGCCCAGAGCCCTGGGTGCCCACGACATAAGGAAAGCAGCACCTGCAGGTCCCAGCCAGGGGTCAGCAGGAAATCACGGGCTCTGGAAAGGAGGGGCAGAGAGGAGAGATTCTTTTTAAACAAATTCTTTCCGCTTATAAATTTTGTGTGTGCGGTTTTATTTTAGTATGTGGTTTTGGGTTTTTTGTTTTGCAAACACTGGGTCCTTTGGGTTAATAAGATAATCTGACATTTTTCCTTTCTCCTCCTCTCGGTGTTGCCCTTGGTGCCAACGCTGTGTATTTAAATGTCTTTGGTGACTTCCTTCCCTGCCTGGCTCTTCATCTGTTTAGTGTGGTTGTGTTTTCCTGGGACTCTTGCCCTGTCTTTGCACATATCCTATGCTTCCTACCTGGCACACAGTGTCCGATACTTGTGTATGTAATGAGCCGAGGCCTCCGCTTCCAGCTCGCCGAAGTGGCCTACGTTCAACAATGATGGGCAGTGTCCGGATTCTCTCCGCCTGTGATGCCTGACCAGCACCCGAGCCTTGGGCTCACTGGTGTCATACAGAAGCAGCCTGGAGTGCTGTGGGCTGGCTGGTTAGGGGACAGACCCCGGGCAGCTGGCCTTCCCTCTAACTGACCTCATCTACCCAGCCTCAACCCCGGAGATGCTGGAGCTGTATCCTGGTGGGTTACCTTGGCAACCTCACAGTGTCGTCTGTTAGAATGTCCTAGGGCTGCAGCGCTTAATTCTATCACAGCGGTCTCTTCGGGGGGCTGTGTAATGGGGCTGCTTTTCTCCGGCTCACACTTCCTTCCCCTATGATTTCACACTAAGTACTTGTGAAGGGAGCCGAACACGAGAAAAACCAAGCTATTACTGCACAACGGGTCACAGATGCTCCCTGAACTGGGACCCTGCCTGTTGGAAGCTGATAAAACGCAGGCCTGAGTTAATGGGAAAGCGGTTCTCCTCATCCCCTCTGGAGAAAGGAGGAAATAACCCATGCTAGGCAAGTCTAGGAGGGCCTGTGTAAACCCCACTCAGCTCAAAGGAAGACTTCCCAGCTGGAGCAGTTTCATCCTGGCCTCGACACACCCCGCATCAGGTGATAATCCAACCACGGGCACCAGGAGCTGCAGCAATTTTGCTGCCCTCTAGCTATGTGGATCCCAAGCATCCCAAGGAAGCATCCTGCCCTCTCCACCTTCCCCACACAGCCCTCAACCTGTTAGGTCCACCCTGTTCCTAACGCATCCCCAGCTAACTCCACTTCCCACAACTCCGAAGACAGAAATAACAACACGGTAGACCTGGCAGAAGCTGGGACACGAAGGAATGGTACCTCAGCTTTTTACTCCTGAGACCTGGGAACCCGGAGCTTGTGCCCACTCTGTGAATGACACTCAGGACTGGTGGGAGACACAAGTCTCCCCTGTGCCCACTCTGTGAATGGCACTCAGGACTGGTGGGAGACACGAGTCTCCCATGTGCCCACTCTGTGAATGGCACTCAGGACTGGTGGGAGACACAAGACTCCCATGACCAGTGACATGGGCACCGTTATAGTGACTACTGAATGTAGCTTTGCAGCCACAGTGAGGTCCCCTTTAGCAGGGGCTCCATAGTCAGTTGTTGTGGGAAGGTAGCTCCATTCATGGTGGCTGTGGTAGGGGCTCCCAGGGCCATGGTTGCTCCTGGTCACACTGGAACAGGGCACAACCTCTCTGAGTCTGTCCTGGGGCGCCAGAGTGTGAACTGGGTGGGGACAGAGAGTTTGTAAGTTTCTGCTTTTGCATATGTACTGATCTGCATGGGCCAGCAACTTCTGTCCAAACCAGTATTTTTAAAAAGTCATCCATAGGCATCAGCAATTAGAGGAAGTACTGGATGAGAGCCAAATGTCCCATTCACCCCCACACATAGAACCAATGACCGTCATTCTGCCCCGAATCTGCTCCTCACTTTGTCTCTGAATCCCCAGCCTGTGACAGGCAGTTCGGGGACAGAGGCCCCCCCTGTGGCTGAGGCAGAATCTGCTCTCTGGAGTAAAGAGCCATTAGAGACTGGAGCTCAGGAACAGGGTGAAACACTGCCTTTTACATCTTGTCCCTCTGACACACACAGCCCGAGGCACCGCCTGGCTTTGCCAGTACCATCCACACCCCAGAGACGACCGGGTGGGGGGGGAGAGGGCGTGGGGGGTGGGGGGAGGCAGAAGCATCCATTCGCTTCAGGCTTAGCAGGTTTGCTAGTGCCTGGAGGTGGCAACTAAGGAGGGCTTAGCGCAATTGTTCAGGAGACCTGTCCATCAAGGCGGGAAGCCATGGTGAAGGGAGCTCATTTACATCTGTGGCTGACAGGAAGCAGAGAGAAGGCCTGAAGCTGGATCTGATTACAAATTTCAAGGCCCACCCCTGTGCCCCACCTCATTCACCTGGGACCCGCCCCCTAAAGTGCCAGCCCCTCCCAAAAATTACCATCAGCAGGAAACCAAAAGGCATGAGTCTGTGGGAGACATCTCACATTGAACCGTAACAGTACATGGATGTTAGAAATTGTCTGTATATTTCCTTCCATCATCTCCCCTCTCCATCCCACTGTGGCCACACTCATCAGTTAGACATAAAGAAAAAAACAGTTTTTACAAGGGAGAATTAGCAGAAAAACAAAATAGTCTTACTTTTTGAGTTTCCAAAGACAAAGTCTACATATAAAATGAAAAGGAAGAAGAAGAAAAAAAGAAATCAAGCAGAACCACCACCCAATGTCTTGTCTCCACTCCGGACACTGTGGTTACTGCCTGGGGGTCTGGATCAGGTGTGTTTGCTCTGCACTTACAGAATTAAAAGGCAAAAGAAAAGCTACAAAGGTAGCAGCAGGGAAGACTCTCGGACTCAGCAGACAGAAGCGACTGACCAGTGAAGAAAGACATCCATCAAGGGTGAGAAAATACACACAGAAGGGCCCTCAGGAAGGCAAAGCCCTGGGGTTTTAAGGATCTTTTGAGGGAGACTTCATTCCCCAATTTAGGGTTGGCCACTTTGTATAAAGACTGGGAAACTGATAGGCCCACAACTTTAGTGTGTGCTGGCCTTGAACGTGTCAGGACAGATCTGCCCACTTTAAAGTCCACCTGGCCTTTGTCTCACGCTGTCAGGCCTTGCTTAGTCTCTCTGGTCAGGAGGGGAAGAGAGCAGGCAGAAATTTCCCACTACTAGTATCGTGACCTCTCTCCTCAGCTGTCTGCCTATCTATCAGGGCTCCGTAACACCTAGTCTCTCTCTATCCTTGCCATACACACACCTTCGATGAATCAATGAATGCCTCCAGAGGAGAAAGAAGAAGAGGATAGGTCAAAGGGGGACTTGGGGACAGCTCCATGTCTGACTGGAGGCAAGATGCACAGTGCACAGCCTGCTGGCAAATCCTCGGGAGCGAGCTCTATACTGCCGCTCTGCTCTTAGGACCTACAAAGGATCTGTACAGGGGAACCTTCAAAAAAGAGACAGTCAAGGGTTGTTCATCCCCCAGTGGCACGGACAGTGAACTCCCATCAGCAACAATGACAGCAACCTGGGGAGCATCCGGGGACTAATGGCTTTTACAACTGCACTTTCATTGCTTCTGTGAACTTGTCTTAGGGTTTTTGTTGCTATGATTAAAACACAACCAAACATGACCAAAAGCAACTGGGAGAAGAAAGGGTTTATTTCAGCTTATGGTTGCAGTCCAGCATGCAGGGAAGTCTGGAAAGGAAGCCAAAGC